CCACCCACCCCCTGACCCCTTCATGACACAGGCATGCGCGCAGTAGGCGTGCACGTAAAGAGTAGTGTATGTACGTATGATCACAGGTGGCACAGTTTGCGAGAGCGATGCCAGCAAAATCAGGAACACTTTCCTACACATCAGCGAACGGCCTTCCCGCGATGCTCGTTCCGGTCAAGCAGTTAGTCGCAGCTGCAGCTGGACGCCTTCGTCGAATGGGAGTAGCCCGGAGAAGTCCTCGGAGTCCTCTGTGTCCAGCAGCTGGCCGGAGTTAGCTTTGGCATTTCTGATGGTGATGGTGGTGGTTGTGGTGGTAAATGGCATGTCAGGGGTGGAAGCAGTGATGTTGACGATTCTGTTGATCACGCGAGACACAGAGTGGCATGTTTGAGCCAATGCATTTTGCACTAGATGCTAAGTCTATCAACGTGCCTCCCCTTCCGCCCGGACAGGCCTCGCCTGCATTGCTCGAATCGCGAGAGTCCTAGTCTAACACCTCAAGTGCGGCAGCCCTCTGAGATGGCACCGCAGGGGAGTGAGAGCGAGAGAGAGAGAGAGCTGCCACGTGTCCCGGAATAACGGTGAGGCGCCGGCCTGACGGCCTCGCTCCCTTCATGCCCGAGAGAACAAGAGGAGTAGTGCTGCAGGGTGGAGTTATCATTCTTCGTACCTGTACGTTGGATGGTCTTACAGGCTTCAAAGGGTATGGCTGATGTTGTGGGATCGGGTTGCGGGTGAATCTCAGGTCTAATTCGGCACTTCATCCCGAACTTGGAGGAGACGCCACCACCTTCGCACCAACTTTTCAACCATGTCGCCAGCTCCAGCAGTCAGACCTCCCGGTCCAGCGATCCAAGCCACGTCTCTGCGGAGCCAGAGGAAGCGCTCCGAGCAGAGGCAAGGCCGAGACGGGCCGAGAAGTGCAACTTGCAGGTGTTCTATACGTAGATTCAGAAGTAATTTATATATATATATATATATGCATGTCTTTGTGTGTATGTATATGTACACATGCAGACACATGCGTACATATGATGCATATGCTTAGGTACACACATGTATATGGTACAAAACAGAGAGATAGAGAGATATACAACACACATGAAGAGAGTGTATATATACCATCCCAGCTAACGAAGATCAGGGGATGGTATCGCACCAGTCGAGTGCCAGTTGAGCCGGAAGTATACTGGGTTGTTTGGATCGTTGAGTCGTTGAAGAGCTGTTACGGTGTTAGTTTTGGGGAATCTCACACCCACACCCACACCCACACTTGCAGGCCAGTCATTCTTACTTAGATGGATGCTGTTTGTGCTAGCTTGTTACATTGCTTTTCTTCGATCGCATCTTTTTCTTGAAGACCACTCATCCTTACTTATGTGGGTGCTGTTTGTGCTAGATTGTTACATCGCAGGTACGTTTTCACGGCTAAACTGGATGGTCTTCATTAGCCCAGGCCATCCAGTTTGCCTTTGGGCCCCCTGCTTTCTTATATCCTTAGAAACAGTGCACACACACACACACTCTCTCCACTCCACTCCACTCCACTCCACTCCACTCCACTCCACTCCACTCCACTCCACTCCACTCCACTCCACTCCACTCCACTCCACTCCATTCCACTCACTCCACTCACGCCACTCGCTCACTCACTCCACTCACTCCCTCCACACTCACTCTAACACTCTTCGACTCTCACCCGCACCCGCACCCTCACTCACTCACTTTCACTCACTCTCGCTCTCGCACGCGCACACGCACAAAAAACCCTCACACACTAGCACCAGTCATACCACATCCACAGAAGTACGCGCAAGCTAAGAGCATATACAGACAACTAGTAGTATAGTATGGCTAACACTCAAGTATCCAAACTTGAATCTTCAAGCAGGTGGCTGGCATGATGGACTTTCCTTCCGTTGGCTCGCGACTACACTTCGAGGGTAAATGCCACTTGGCATGTTTGGATAGCGGACTTGCTCTTGCTAGGAGGAAGTAGCCACCAGAGTTTTCTGACATGGTAGGCAGCACGGTTATTGCATGAAGGATTGTTTTGGTCGCTTTGTTAGTGCAATCAATGGTTTCTTGTATCGTGCCGTCCTGAACTACACTTGCAGAGACACTGAACAGTCTGAACGGACGTAACAGCAAATACTGGTTGAATGCTCTACAGACGGTCGAACTACACAAGTACGGAAGAAGCTGTGCAATGCAGTGTTCGGCAATGGAGGCCAACCTTGTCGCTTCATTGACCATCCGGATGGCTGTCGAAATGGATATGAGTGCAACTTCTGCCATTTTCGGGATCACGATGCATCCAGTGCCAAGACCCATCGGCCCTCCAAAGGAGTCCGATCAGGGTACAAGAGGAGCGTCAACCAGGTCATGCATTCCGACATGTCGGAGGAGCAAAAGCTTGAGGCATACAAGAAGCTGGCCGAACGCAGTCCTTACATGCGTTGCTTGCTGCGAGCCGTGGTTCCCAACATTGACGACCTGCTGGAAGAGCAGGGCCATGTTGAAGCAGCGAGCTCGAAAGCCGTAGACCAACCTCGTGCACCTGGGTTGCAGCCAGCAGCCCAGATGCCTCGCACAC